AACGGTGGGTTGATGCGGGTGTGTGTCTTTGTGCATTTATGTGCATGTGCCAAGAGCCCTGGGGCTCTGTCCTCAGCTCTTACTGGGGTGGCCAACCTCTGACAGGGTCGGCTGCCAGTTGGTTTTTAGGCGCTCTTTCTTTTTGGCTCCTTGTTGCTTCTGCTGGTGTGGACACGTGTTTGTTTTTGGGTCTCCTGGATCTTTCTCTGTTTGCCTCTGTTGTGGTTTTGCACCCTCATGATCACGTATGTTTTATCTCTCTCTCTCACACACACACACACACACACACACAAACACACACACACATACATGAGGTCATTAATGTTTGTTTAAGTGCAGAGATGGTGCAGATAGACTTGCAGCTATTTGCAAACTTGCGGTTTCAAAAATGTTAACACAATATTTTCCATCAGCCACGTCTCTTTAAAAAGTGATCCTTCCTGTCATTGTCTGATCTAAAGGTCAGAGTTTAAAACACCAGTAAATACTTTGTGCAAATAATTGTGGTCTCAGTCACTGCAGTTTCAAATCTTACTACATGTTAATTTAGTAAAACAAGCTCCTCATTAAAGTCAAAAAGGACAAGAAAGCACTTCTGATTAAAAAGCTCCTTCCTTATATATGCTGATGTAAAACAAGACATCAGCTTCACAAAAGACTTCTGTCTGAAACATGCTGCATTTCCTCTTTCCTGCATGGCGCAGATAAAAATGAGGCCTTTCAGTAGTTTAAAAATAAAATGTGGCAGAATATAGAGTATCCATAATTTTATTGTACATGTACAATGACAATAAAGGGCTAAAGCTGTATTGCTGGAATACAAAAAAATGCAAAACTACAAAAAAATTTATTTGAAACTAAACGGCAGGCAGAACACACAGCTGGATGATGAGGGAGACCACGATGCAGGACTTAGAGAGACGCAGACGTAAATACACACAAGAACAAACAAGGGAACAAATCACAGGAGGGAATCGTAGCTAAGAGGAGACACTTGGAAGCACAGCTGGAAACAATTTAAACTGAACATGATGCACAAAGCACAAGTGACTATCAAAGTAAAAAAGGAAGTATGCAAAACGAACATTGAGACACAGGCTGTGTCCAAATTCAGGGGTAGCATTCGTCGATGGCTGCATTTACGCATTTGTGGGCAATTACGTCACAGTGACGCAACGAAGGCTTTCCAAATTTGAAGAGTCCTCCAAATGCGGCGACAAATGCGTCCTTCATTTCCCCAGATTTGAAAGATGTGTTGGCTGGCTATCGTTCGTGGCCCACCATATCCTAGGATTCATTTTGGATTTCAGGATTTCAGTTTGATATGTTTGTTTGATATGTTTTAGGGAACAAAGACCAAATGGCTTAATTTCTTAAAATGAGAGGAGAAAACGATCACTTCGTCTCTGGGGTGAAGAATTCGGCCACTGGAGGTACAAGAATAAATCAATTTACACATCATATTCATATGAGTATGGTTTTATTAACCCTCATACTGTACAGAACCTGTGATGTCCAGACGGTATTCCTCTTGTGTTCTGCTGTGAAAACTTTAGGGATTAACATACTTGCCATGTTTTCTCTCTTCTCTTATTTTTTGTGTGTGATCAGGACAATTCTGGAGAAGATGGGCCTGCAGGGGAAAGTCACCCCCATGCAGGCTAAAAGAAATGGGATAACTGAAGGGTGGCTGGCCTCTCCCTTAGAGATAGGGTGAGAAGTTTGGCCATTCGGGAGGGGCTCTGAGTAGAGTCGCTCCTCCTCCACATCGAAAGGAGCCAG